GCTGTGGGCCTCTGAGAGGTGAAAGTGGAGATGAGAAGAGGGAGGATAGCTAATGTTGACTGAGTGAATAATGTCTCGGAATCTAACTTCCACCCGTACACGGCAGACAAGTCCACGAAGAAGCTGCTACACACTCCAAAATATACACACACAAGACTTAAAAGGGGCCCTCTTCGTACTGTCAAACTCCACAGCTACATACTGTATATGGGAATGTCTACAAGAGACTTTGAGTCTGTGTGTGCGTGCGTGAGTGTGTTTCTGCCCTGCGCACCCTTTCCTGATGGAAGCGATCAGAGAAACACAGAGAGCAATGACATAGACCATTTGCTCCGGCAGCCCTAGCGAGACAATATTTGATTTGTCCTCTCTCTCACTCTCTCTCTTTCTCTCTCTCTCTCTCCAAAAGCTGCTTATCCTTAGAGAACATAATTGATATTGTAAATAGAAAGTTGGAAGGACACTCCAGATTTTCGGCATGCGCTGTTTACATAATGTACAATTATGTTTTGCCTGCGATTTCCTGGACGTTGCGCAGAGGCCTGGAAAAGGCATGAGGGGGTCGAGGAGCGGCTGAGTTTCCGCTGGCCAAACAGAGCCACGAACACAGCGCTGCACACACTCACACGCTTCAGTTTGCACAAACACACAGCCTCTGTTCCTGCCATGCTGCATGTGGTGAGAAAGCAAGAGGGAGTGAGAGAGAGCGAGCAAAAGAAAATAATGGCAGTGTTAAAGGAATGGCAGTCTATGGGACTGTTGACATAATGTACACTGATGAACCAGTTCAGCATCTGAATATCATGTACTTTTGCTTCACTGCTGAATGGGATTTCAGTACTCACTCAATACCAGAGTGGAAGTCTCTTGACCTCACAGCAATTCGATTACGATTCTTGAGAGGTGACTAAGTGCATCATGAAATCTCAGATTTCACCATGACTCGGTTTGATTGGATTACTTCGGTATGAATCAGAAAACACAAAGCACACAGATGTGACTTTCAGTAGAATATAGCCTTCTAGGAAGAAAATGTTTACATTTGAAAATAACTCAAGAAAATTATTTTGGCCAAAAAAAAAACTCTAGCACATAATAATAGAACTGAGAATTGGTATGATCAATTACAATCAGTTCCAACATTCCAAAACTGATGCACTTAAATTACCACCTTTAAATCAATGCTTGGATTTTGACATCCCTGGTTAGTACAGGGATGTCAAAATCCAAGCATTGATTTAATATCCATCTGAACTGGTGAGCTGGATAAGCAGTTTAGAAAATGTGCGTGTGTGTGTGTGTGTGTGTGTGTGGTCAGTACAGTAAATCACACAGAGAACAGCATACACACTCTATTTCTCTGAATGTTGAACAGTTGCAAATTTATGCCATATTTTTCCAGCCAACCAGATCTCTGAAGTGCTTCTAGAGATTTTCCTCATTAATGGCACATCTGAGCTCACAAGCTGTAAATGAACAGGTTGTTTGTTTAGGAGTGGGTTACCTGAGGAGGCTCTGAATCATTAAGTTATGCCCGTAGAGAGCTGAGGATGAGGTGATGCCGGAAAAGGTGAGTCAAGCCGGGCCATTCTTGAGCCAGGACGCATTACAGTAGGACTCCGATGCCAGAGGGGCTGTGTGTGTGCAAGAGAGTCAGTTTCTCCTGTGGGTATCTGAATGAGACAGAAGATGAAGGAACTGAAAGTACTGTCTATGTTCCTGAGCACTGGCAGATGGCTTCTCTAGCAGATAGATGATTGTCTCAGTAAAAGGGTTTACAAAGCAATGCAAAGTCTGACAGCAAGCATGCAAAAGCTTCCTAAAGTTGAAAATATCACAGAATCTTTTGGAAAAGGATATAGCAGGAGGGTGAGAGCAGTAGTGGTGTTCTCTGGTCTGCTGTGGAAGAAGTTTGCCCCCAGAATTTAAGTCTAGTCACATAGCGTGAGATTGTCAGTGTTTCAGAGTTATGAGATTAGAGAGATTGCTCAGATTTTTGAACAGTCAGACAGAGGGCTGCCTCTGGGAGTAGATCACTGCCCTTTACATTACAATCACGCAATGCTACAATCTCACTCACACCATTCATCTTTCCCCAGTCCTTTTCCCCTGAAGAGTTGTTGCCAGTATTGGGCTGTTGGCAGTGATAGTGCTAATAAAAGTTGCTTTGTTTACTGTGCGCAGGTTCAAACGTCCGCGCTAGGCCATATCTAGAGAGTTCATTGTTTGTGGTCGTTTTTGTTCTGTATGGTAATTTGTATTTATTGTCTCTGTGTGCTCAGGAGTCGAAGTGAATTGCCTCAAGCATCTCTACCCTTGTTTTTTCCAACATATTCAATAGACCATATGTGGAATTTGCCTGCACTGCAGATTGTGCTGGTTCTGCGTAGCTGCTGTAACCAGGGCTTACATGTGTGTTTCAGAGTTAAGGGATGGCTGGCTCAATACTGAAGTATTGGTACATTCATTCCTGATGTTTCTTTTTGAGAATTAATCCTCAAATAAAAAAATATTGGTCCCCGGTTTTTCCTTTTAGCATTTATTGAAATACTTTCAGCTTTTTGACTTTGAAAAAGTAGGATTTGACCAAGTAATTGTGTTGGATAGAAACTACTTTTTCTTTTGCTCTTTCCTTCTGCTCCCCATACACACATTTATTATTACTATTATTACTATTATCTATAAATCCAAAGGGAATTAACTCTTGTGTGGCGTTATGTTTTTGTTGCGGTGGTCTGGTGGACCCACCGCAGTACTGTTTTTTTAAATCAGTACAGCCATAACAATTTATGTAAAAATATCAGATGTTTAAAATAGCACGTGGTCAGCGTAGGGTTTTCCTTTAGCAGCTATAGCCAGTCAGCAGCCTGTCCATGTTGTCCACCCTCACACACACATTTTGTGTTATTTTATATGTTCTTCACAGAAAATGAGCAAAGACCAAGGAATCTGGGGTTGAAATAATAATAAATCGTTTCCTTTTTTCTTTTGGTAAACATTGAAAATGGGTCCTGCAGACCCGAACACCACACGAGAGTTAAACAAACATTTTTTTTGTATGTAAATGTGTATGTAAATGACCTTTGTTTTGCCCTTTATTGTGCCTCACTTAAAAAAGTTCAGGCTCATAAACATCATTGTGAATGGATGAGGGCTAAATTCCTGTACACATGATGTGTATTCTGACAAATTGACCTTTTTAGGTGGCAGCACTGGTGTTGCACAAAAAAATAGCATCACACAGAGAAATATATTTCACAACATGTTTTATTAATCAAAAATAGCCTACGGAAATCTGCAGGCTTTTCTGCAAATGAGTAACATAACAGAGACTGCTAATGAGATGAGCTAATGAACTAAAACTACAGCCAACCAGTACAGCAACGGATGCTGATTGAGATGGTCATCTTCTACAGGTGTTTTTTTTCCTCATTGGTGGATGAAGTGCTCACATGTTAGCTTGCCAGAGAAGTATGTTTTAGCTGTATTTATTGATAAAAGCCATGCTCTCTCCGTCTTCTCAGTCATATCCGTAGCAGTGTGTCCATGGCCACAAACTCATGTTAAGGCACTCAAATTTGAACACTTTGAAACATTAACAATGTTTACATATTGCGTTAAACTCTTTATTTAAAAAACAAAGTGAGGAAAATTCAGTTTCCCCATCACTAGACTCTTTAAAGGTATGGTATGGTATAGTATTAGGATACCAGCCTTGGAATTACTTGGTTTTGGATCAAAAAGAAAATCAGTGGCTTCGCTATCCTTGCCAGAGGCGACGTGTGGCACATTGTCTCCATTCAGCTCTACCCTCCCAGGCCATGCCCATCTGGCCCTTCAGAACAGCATGCAACCTTGGGGAAGGCTGGAGAAGAGCGAAGCAGCGGCCGAGCTTGGGTGGAAATGTGTGTAGACTAGAGAAGCCGTGTAGCTCTCGTCATGCATGTAAAGCAGGCTCTTCCTCACACGCACGCACACGCCTTAACGCCTGCTGGCATGCCTGAGTGAGCAGCACTGCGGTTGACAGGATGATCTAATATCTCACCTCTGTGATCAATATTCCAGCAGATGTGAAGTCCAAAAACGCAGTTTGCCGAACTGCTGAAATAATGTGAACACGGGAGGGAGGCTAAGCATGGCATTTATCACACCTCACTGCCTGTCTCTCTCTTTCTCTCTCTCCAACTTAATCTCTCTCTCCCTCTATGGCTGTTTCTTCGTTTCTTTTTTCAGCAGGCGGCATGTGGCCTGTCTGGCTTAACAAGACCCACGGTACTGTCTCTCTCTTTCTTTTTCACTCTCTCTCTCTCTGCCCCTAATACCATTGTGAGGGAGAGTGGCCTCAGTTCTAAATGGTATAAATCAATGCGTGCTATATTATGCTGATCCCAAGCTGTGGCAGACTACCATCTGCCTAGCATCTCATACCTGCTAATATTTGGTTCCGCTCTGTCCTTACACACCCTGATCTCTCTGAGCATCTCTCTGTTTCTTTCATCCATTTATATGTAACTCAAATTTTATGTCCAGCTCTACTTTTGGTTAGTACTGTCTGAAGTGAATTAGATAAGATAGTCTAAGTAGTTTACAGTCTGCACTAGTTATAGTCTATGTAGAAATAGTTAATGAAGAAAAAATATCTCATCACAACAGTTGATGTAATTTTAATTATTATGCAGCAAATGGAATCACAGGCTGGATATGCTTTTGGAATCTAATTGATTGGTTAAGGTTTGTGGTGGAACCTAGGGTTGTTTGTATGTGTTGGATGCGTGAAATGACGATCTGTTCTCATCACACAAGCCTTAGATTACATTACTTCAAATAGCAATAAATATTCCTCCAGTATGAAGTTCATCAGATATTTATGACATTCCCAGACTGCATAAACGGTAGTCTGAGTGATTTATCAGACATTTTGGTTGAAAAATGAAATGGTGATGTTTTATTTATGAATTTGTGAGATTTTGCTGATGCTGATTATCTTTTCCCCCTCTTAGGATCCTCAGCAATAACAAAATTTCGATGGTGAAAAATGGATCCTTCTTCGGCTTGCGTGCTCTGGAGAGACTGTGAGTACATTTAACCATTCCATGAGCATTAATAACATGTTGAAAATTATTTTAATAAGGAGGTGTTGGCACATAGTGTTACAGCGTCCCCGTAATGAGAACTGCACACGGATAGCCTAGATGGGCCCCATTTTAAGTGATAGATTCTAATTGCTGGCTTGTTACTCTTTAAAGTCCTACAGTTGCAGTACCACGTTCCTCTTATTGCTCTGTGTACCAGGCTAAACTGTCTGTGTTTTTGTCTCCATGGTGAAGTGTGAGCAAGGCACTTGGCCTGCTATTCAGCAGTGATGACCCAAAGATGCCGTATGTTTAATCTGTGTTTGGATTAGGTTGTCTGCTGGCAGGCCAGGGTCGAGTTCTCTGTGGAGTATCCGGATCAAGTAATAAGCAACTAAAGGGGTTCCGAGAATGTGTGGCCCGGGGTGTCTTATTGATTGCTCCTGCTACCTCTGTTTTAATTAAGCCCACCCGCCCAGGACAGGCACGCTGACATTCAGAAGGGCCTTCCTCAGCTGCTATTTGCGTTTCAGTGACAGGACACTTTCATGGGGATTGCCACCAACTGTGAAACCGAACCGAAATAATGAGAATAGCACATGCAAAGGGCAGCCTGTGATATTTTCTTCTAGTTAGAATGCCAAATACAAATATGAGGATATGTGAAAGAGACACACCAGTGAGTCGGTGAGGAGTAAAAGAAGGGAATAATAACCTAGAACAGCATGCCAAATACACAGTTTCTACTGAGTAGACCTCATTCTTGGATCAATTCATTTAACCACTATTTTCCCAAATACTAGCTATTTGGTTTTATCCACAATTTGTATTTATGTTGACTATTTGCACCATGAATGATTTGAACAGAATAATTATGCTATAGTACAAATATTTTAGTATAGCTATGTTTACATTATAAGCCATGTTGTTCATTTCTGAGATTTTGGTCAGATTCTGTCTTTCTGCTTTGACAGCTCACATTAGTATTTATAAGTGATACAAACTGTTCAAGCTGTCATTAGTTTGAACACACTTCTTTCCTGATAGGGCCCACATGTGCACATTTTATCATCAAGTTAGCTACTGCAAATTAGTAACTCTAGATGACAGCTCTGTATATACGCCATATGTAAGTTGATGGACAACTGAGCATCAAACCTATATGAGCTTGTTGGACATCCCTTTCCAAAACCACAGGGATTAATTAATGTAGAGTTACCCCCTCCCCCGCTTTGTGGCTATACCAGCCCCTACTCTTGTGAGAAGGATATCCACAAGATTTTGGGGTGTGGAAAGTCAAAAATGGACGTTGCTTTGTGTAGTAGGGCACAGTCGTTCTGGAACAGAAAAAGGGCCTTCTTAAAACTGTTAACACAAAGTTGGAAGCATACAATTGTCTAAAATGACTTTGTATGTTGTAGCATTAACATTACCCTTCACCGGAACTATGGGTCGAAGCCCAAACCGTGAAAAATAACCCAGCCCATTATTCCTCCTCCACCAAACTTTACTGTTGGCTCTATACATTCCAGTAGGTCGCATTCTCCTGGCATCCACCAAACCCAGGATCGTCCACCAGACTTCCAGATAGTGAAGCATGATTCGTCACTTCATAGAACATGTTTCCACTGCTCCAAAGTCCGGTGGTGGTGTACTTGACACCTCTCCAGCTGACGCTTGGCAGTGCATATAGTGATCTCTGGCTTGTGTGCAGCTTATTGGCCATGGAGGCTCATGTGATGAAGCTCAATATGCATAGTTCTTGTTTTAATTTTGCTTCTGGAGGCGGTTAGTGACTCTGTAGTGAATGATGGGTGATTTTTATGTGCTGTGTGGTTCAGCACCCAATGGGTCCACTCTGAGTTTGTGTGGTCTGCTGCTTTGTGGCTGAGCTGTTCTTGCTCCGAGATCCTTCCGTTTCCCAGTACCAGCATTTACAGTTGACCTGGGCAGTTTTAGCAGGGCAGCAATTTCACGAACTAACTTGTAGCAAAGGTGGCGTCCTATGATGGTACCACATTTGAAGTCAGTGAGCTCTTAGTGCGACCCATTTTACTGTCAGTGTTTGTCAATGGACACTGCATGGACATGTGCTTGATTTTATGCACTTGTTAGCAATGGGTGTGGCTGGAATCAGTAATTAGGAAGGGCTTCCACATCCTCATGGCCATGTAGTGTATATATCTCTTCATATATATGTAGAGTTTTGTAAAAGAACAACAATGGACAACACATTTTTGTTTCTCTAGTAAAGGTGGAATTTAGACACTACCAACACCTTACATCATGGAAAAAAAATAAAATTTTGAAAATAGTTTATAATGCATTTATAATGCAGCACAGGCCTTCATAAATATATACACACATGTATATATATGGCACAAATTTTATCTGAGAAGATTAGATTTTAATGTCCACATGTCTCTGGTCTGTGTCATATTTTGACAAAAAATTGGACTGTCACTTCATCCCTGTAATGTGAATGTGGCCCAAAGCTATGCCTCTGAATGGTTTGTCTCAGCCTTTGTGATGTTTACTTTCATTACAGTAATAGTGAAGATGTTTTAGGGCTAGATGATCTTACTTAAAGTTTATATCATGGTATTTTCCACAGTTTTGTGATACATTTTTAATATTCATTCATAACTTTCTGCAAGAAATCTGAGAATACAAGCCTCTTGCAGAGCACACATGATCTTGGGATGTATTGTTTCCACTGTCACAAACAAAATCACAAAGAAAATCTTATAAAGAAAACAAAGTACATAAGAAATAACAAAGGTCATTTAGTTCAAAGGCTAAAACCTGGATAATTTGGGTCAGAATGATGCTGTTCAGACCATGTATATATTATATCATCATATTACAATATGCAAAATTCCTGATAACAACCAATTTCATAAGGTTAATGACATAGGCCTATATTGTTATCAGAGTATGAAATCACATTGTTATATAGTATTATATTGCCTAGCTCTAAGCCATATCAGTTCAATTTTCCTCTAAGACTCCAGTCTTCATGTGCTTATCTGGCAGTGGTACAATTTTCTCTACTGCCTCTGCTACCACTTCTCCTTTATAATCGAACAGTACATCATTTGATTTGCTGCCAGTTTAAATTACATTTAAAGCACTGTAGCATGGCCCTCCTGCCCCTGGCCACCAACTTGCTCTCCTGTGATGGGGATGCCAGATGTACCAGCTGCCAGTTTATCTGGCCCAGTGACGGCGCCTGTCCCTGTGCCAGCATCAGGTGCCCATTGTTAGGTAAATGCCAGAGCCAGCTGTTGGTGGCTCTGTCAGTTTGAACAGCAGGGGGAGCACCACTGTGGATGAATGACATGCTTTTCTGTGTAAGAATACTAACATTATTCAGTCTCATTCAAGTCTCCTTGTCTTGCGCATGGATATTGTCTCAAAGCAGTGTTTCATTGTGCCAGGCCTGCTTTGTGGCATGCAAACAGATTAACACACTCCCCCAAAATCTATTGCCGAACATGACCTAAATATCTTTGGTCTTCTTACTCATTTTTAGATTCTCAAGAATTGCAAGGATATCAGATCTGATCATAGACTGTAAGGTCTAAAAGTCTGAGACCACATTGGAAATATGGGATGTTTTTCATTTAAACCAAGAAATAAACAATAAAGTTTTAGTTATCAAATTTAAAACATAGAAATTTTAAGCAAAATTAAGCAAATTTGGCACAAGGTCAAATATTATTTTATTATTATATATATATTAGAGGTGGGAATCTCTAGGCACCTCACGATTCGATTCGATTACGATTCAGAGGGCCGCGATGTGATTATAAAACGATTATCGAGGCATCTCGATGCATCTTTTTTACTATATAGCATTTATATTTTCTCACTGTGTGAGCTCAAGTTTCGAGTTCAAGCTTCAAGTTTATTTGTCATTTGCACAACATGTCAGGACATTTATACATTGAAATGCTTGTGGTGAGGCTCAGCTAATCACTCTACAGAAAGTAAAAAATAATAAAATACAAAAAAAATAAAATAAAATACAAAAAAAAAAACTGAAATATATTAAATATACACAAAATATACACAGAATATAGAGACAATATACATTTTAAAGTGACTAAGTGACTCAGTGTTATTGTTATTTAAAGTGACTTGGTACGTTTAAAGCAAAGTATTTGTAATGATCCATAATGAATTTACTTCCAATATCTTTTTTAATAAAACAAATGGAAGTGATGTGGCAAGTGAACTAGAAGGCTCTCATTCACTGCTCTTGTTTGGAGCACGAGAAGCTGCTGCCACGCATCTGCAATAAAATGCGCAGTTATGGTGAAATAAGATCCAGTGGCAGTAGATGTCCACGCAGCACATCTTACAGCTATTCTACCCGTTTTCTTTAGTGATTTTATAACTTCGGTTTTGGTCTCGTTGTAGAGACGGGGGGGGGGGGGGGGTCGCTGTGCCAGTAGAGTATCTTCGAGACGGGACGTATGCAACATGGCGTGAAAGCCATGTTTCGCAACGACTGAGAACCGGCGTGCAGACTGCAGGTCACACAGCAGCGATGTGTTATTCGCATTTATAAGCAGCGCAGTTGGTTTCCTGGTATGTTAAATCTGCAACGAGAGACTGTCACACACTAAAAAGTGGCGAAGATGAAGTCGCTTCTTTCGAATTCTCCCATTCCACCTTAAATGGTGCCACATTTGGAACGGGTAAATTTGAACAAGGAGACATGATCTAGAAACTGATCTACTTCTGAGGAAAAGTTTTCTGGCAGAGATGGGAGGAAAGCGGCTGTAGGCGAAGCTTAAAGCAGAGCGAAGTAAATCTGCATTTTCGTTTACATTGTTTAGCCCATACTAGGACATTAACACATACTGAGACATATTGGACATTAAATGTTGCGGCTCCCAAGGTTGTTTGATTTTTGTTGAAAGGACAAAATGGCTCTTCTTATCATTTGGGTTGTTACTCCTGATCTAACCTGACTTTAATGCAGAGGGAGC